TAGTGTATGCGTCCTGTCTAACACGCTCCATCTTACAGAACCACTGCCACCCCCATTTGACTTTCTTTCCACCCAACCTGATACAGAAAGACAGATGCCTTGAAAATGTAAAGGCACGGCACAGAGCAAACAAAGTCCTGACAGTTTACATGCAGACAGGCTCTGGTCCTCTCTGGGTGGGGGAAACAAAAGAAAAAAACACACCTACAGAAATGTCAGGCGTCAGAAATGTTCCTAAGGTCCTGTCAGAGGAAAGGAATAGGTTTCAGAGAATTGGAAGGTAAAAGCTGAAAAAACCTTACGACCTGCCCCTCTTGGATTGTGGCTGTTGTTAGGACTGAAATGGCTGGATTTGTCAGGGTATCATCAGTGTTTAAGTAAACTATATCTGTGTTACAGTGCTCGTAGAGCTTGGAAAGGTAGGTGACTATCACCCCTCTGTCACAGATGAAGAATATCTTTCATGGGAAAGTAAAAGAAAAAGTTGCCCCAAGTGAAATAGTGCTTACGGGCAAGCAATAGATTGCAGATCTCCTGATCCAGGCTATAGATTAGCCCCTGTATCATTTGATGATGATCAGAAAGTTTTGGGAGCAGTGCCTGTAACAAGAAACTGCTGCCAGGAGCCTGTGAAAGGACATGGTTTAGAACAGAGAGGGCAAGGCGAGGCCTTGTACATACTTTTTAATACTTTGCTTTATTCTGTTCGTATAATTTATCTACAACCATTCCATTACGTGATCACAATTATTTGCCTGAAATCTTAGAGTCATCGTGGCAGAAATTTATCTCCAGAGGAACTTTAACTGAGGAGAAGGTAATGTGGCTTTTGAGGGCAGCAATTTTTATGGGGCAAGTTAGCAAAAGATAAATTCTTAAAGAACTTTAAAAATCCTTTTTGGCACAGTAGCCTTAAATAAAGAAAGGGAGAAGTAAAATACAGATTGAATGCTGAGTTCACTTCATTATTTATAAATAAAATGGTTCTCAGTTTTCCAAGGTTATAGTGCCAGCACTTGATGTCATATGGAGGTTTCAGAACAGTTAATTAATGGTCACCCTTTCATGGAAAGTTTTTGGGTCAGCCCAGCGAATACTGATGAAGGAAAGAAAAAATGCATACTGTCTATTAAAATTCCCTTTATCCCTTCTGGAGCAAGTAGCTTGCCTACCCCATGTGGCTAGGTGTTTGGGTTTACCCATGCTGTATGGTTAGGATTATTTTTTTCTCTAACTACAAAATAAACATTACAGATGGTGGCTCAGAAGTGAAGCTTTCTTTGTCACATACTTATGGTCTAGTTAATACCTATGTTTGGTAACATGGAAAGAAAATCTACTAGCTGAATGTATGGGGAAAAGAATGAAAGGGCACATCCATCATGAAGTGTTGAAGTTTAGCAGTAAAGCTTGTCTTTTGGGTTTAGAAGGAAGGTAGATCTTTCTAAAAGCTGCTTTTAACGAGATGATGCAGTGTAGGAAACTCTGGAATTGAAGAGATCTTGAAAATAAATCCTGGATTTACCCCCTGTGTCCATGGTCACTGTTATTTGCTGTAGAATTTTCTTTCTGTTTTTATTTTTTTTTTCCTTCTGCTAGGAATGCGTGAACTAATTGTTGCTTTTTTCCTAGTATCTGGTGCTCTAGAGATATAAAATACCATGAATAAACTATATCTTTAATTCTGTGTGTGCAATTTGGCTTCAATAGCCCTCATTTCAGAGTATTGTATTATATTGTGTTTTATGCTGGTAATTGGAACAGAACCATTTTCATGGCAAGCTCCTACTCAGTCCAAATAGGGGTATCAAAATCTGACACAAAGTTGTGCTTCTGCAAAATTGCTCTTAAAGGGTCACGAGGAGCTCTGCCCATGGAGGGACTGAAGAGAGCTGGGGTAGTCCTTCAGTCAGACCCATGAATTTTTTTTTTTACAAACTTTTGCACTTCTCAGTTGCAACAACGTGTTGCACAGCTTGGAGAAAAGCTGTTTCCTTGGCTGCAGGAGAGGGTACCGATCTGCTCGGGATGGGGAGGGTGTCCGTTTGCTCATTTCCCACCTTTCTCAGCAGACCAAAGGCTGCTGGTGGTTTTCAGTCCTCCACTTCCAGAATCTTATTTCTTTCCGAGTTTGCCCTCTTATACATGGGTTATCACTAGATCTTTAAATAGGGTTTTTTCTTCAAGTCTGAGGAATGGGAATGGCAAAAGATTTTGTCTTGTTTTCCTGGAAGGAGAGATATGAAATGTTTTCTCCTTCTGCAGGGGAGATTAGCTAAACTTCCCACCATCCCTTTCCCCACTTGCAAGTTTTTATCTTCGCATTGTTTAGTCTGTAGGGCTTGAAGGTACACAGCTTTCTCTGCTGAATACCTCTTAATGCCTTCCACCTCTCTGGTAGTGGAGATCTGCTCCGCTAGACAAACTTCGTCTTACTGTGTTACTCTATGCCTTCACCAAGGTGGACTCTTCTCAGAGCGGCCACAGTTTGTAAAAGAAGATTGATTCATTGATGGCCATTGAAAAGCTGTGTGAGAGGTTGTCTGGGAGGCTGAATATAAGGCAGCGCCTTGTAAAGCCACCTGGAGTCAGTAACCAGGTTAATTGGTCATAGACATTCTTTGAGTATTTGAACAAAAATTAATAACTTGTTCTTTGCTAATTACTATGCAGATAATTACATGGTTGCCAGCAAAAGATTCACTAAAATAGAGATCACTTTATATGTTGGAAAAAAGTGGCAAAGCTGTGCCAGAAATGGTTTTACCTGAAATAAATCTCTGTTCAGTGAAAGCTCCCTTATTTTTGAGGTAGCATAAGAGAAGAAATGTTGAGTTTTTTCACATGGTATCTGAGTTCATGCATCTGCTGGGAGCAGTAATCCACTTACCCCATGTTTTGTTAATATCTTGAAGAGAAGCCTATGCAAAGCATAGTAGTGTGAATGTATGTGAGACTTGCTATCCAGCATGCATTTAGCAAAGTCTAAAATTGCCATTATAAAATGAGAGAAAGAATATCAGGGTGTGTACTGTTACAGTGCTATATTTCACGTAGTCAAAGCACAGTCCAGTTTTTGTAATCACCTCTTCAGCTACAGGACCGTTTGTTTTCCTTTCCTAATAACAGTGTTGTAGCCTGAAGAACAGGGAACATGGTGTTGGGAAAAAAATAAGTCCAGTAAACAAAGGGTATTTAAGACAGGAACTTGGGAAAAGGGTCTTGTGTTGAGTGTTTGGTATGAGGAAACTGAAATGTAAGGTAAAGCAGGAATCAGGAAAGGTCTCTCTGAGAAATTGGAAGACATGAAGGTTTTAAGAAAAAGATCTGTTGATGCTATGAGGCAGGAATAACTCCAGGAGAGGAACTGGAGGTGACCCTCAAGTATAAGAGGAGAGGTTTCATTCTTATTGCTGAGATTTTCTGACATGAGTGTAGTGAAGTCAGTCAGGGTAACAGCCCTGAAGTATGGAGTCCTCTGTCCACTAGCAGATATATAGGGTAATAGGAGTAATAAAATTGTCTCTTACCCCCTTCCAGTATACCTCAGTTTTGTTTTGAACAGGCTGTATTTGGTTATGAGATGGACATCCACTCTCTGTGGTTGTTTCTTCCTTGATTTCTCTATTGGAACAGTTGATAAGACCAATTTTATAGTATGTATGGCTAGCAAATGTATTGGCATCCTATACAACACATTTTAATTATGTCTGTCTGCCCCAGATTTGAATCTGTGCAGTACATCTAATATGCCAGCATACTGTGCCTCTTGTTGTTGAGGGCAATTTGAATCTGTGCAGTACATCTAATATGCCTTCATAGACGGTGACACCAGCATACTGTGCCTCTTGTTGAGGGCGGTGGTTGTTTCTTCCTTGATTTCTCTATTGGTTTCTTCCTTGATTATCTCTAGTGGTTGTTTCTTCCTTGATTTCTCTATTGGAACAGTTGATAAGACCAATTTTATAGTATGTATGGCTAGCAAATGTATTGGCATCCTATACAACACATTTTAATTATGTCTGTCTGCCCCAGATTTGAATCTGTGCAGTACATCTAATATGCCAGCATACTGTGCCTCTTGTTGTTGAGGGCATGAAGATGCATCCTAATTAAATGTATACTGTGCACTGATGGAAATTTCTGGTACTGTTTAAATCAGTAGTAATAAATGTGGATATCTAACCTGAATATACTCTGGGTGCGTATTTTACAACCTAAAGTCATTGAATCTAGTTATTGCTGGGAACTACATGAGGGGAGCTGCAGGAGGAAGTGTTATGGCTGGTACAACTGGCTTTGCCTGCTCTTCCCTTTCAGTCAGTGACTGGTGGAAGGTTTTGGGATAACACTATGGAGGACTGACTGTTGGTAAGGCACTGCTTGGGGTGTGACAGAAAAATAGAAGACTGCAGCTTTTGAAAGTCTGGAGGGTTCTCCATTTTGTGTAAGAACAGTTAGCTTCCCTCAGGTGGTCAAATTCAAAGTTGGCTAATTACATTTTTTCTCCCTTCTAATTTTGTCCATCTTGTAACTGCATTCTTCCTTCTGGATCCCACAGTTACTTGTTTTGGGGTGGGGGGTGTTTGTTTTGTTCTGTTATTCTGTTTGTGAAGCAGTTGGGATACAGGCTGCCTGCGGCTGCATTTCAGATGACAACTGAACAAGCAACTACTAATCAGTAGAGATGTTGCTCAAATAACTATTTATCTACATCTCCTTGGTTTTATTGCCTGATTTCTCACCTGTCCCCTGTGATGTTTTAAGGCAGCAGATGAGTCACTGTGTTCAGGTGAATGCTGTAAAGAGGAGTGTGAAACACATTGTTTGCACTGAAGCAGAGCCAATGAATTGTCTCCTGACTGCTCAAAGTGATGCTTCTTTGTATTCTTCAGTGCCCTCTGCCGACACAGTTACCTATTAGAGATTTATAGGCCAAGTATGTTCCCCTAATAAGCACCAATTTACAAGCATTTGTTTCTTTTTGTCTTTCATTTCAGGAGCAAGGGAAGATTGGTGTAGTCTTCAATATTGGCACAGTGGACATCTCTATTAAAGAGGAAAGCACACCTGTAAACGATGGCAAATACCATGTGGTACGCTTTACCAGGAATGGTGGCAATGCCACACTTCAGGTTGACAGCTGGCCAGTGAATGAACACTACCCAACAGGTATGTACTTGTTTCTCTTTGTTTTTCTCTTTGTGCCTATCCATGTCTAAAAAAGAATAATGTTTGACAACAACTGGGTACTGTATAAATCTTTGTTGCTTCATCTCAACAATGAATTGATGAGCCTGGTGGTGCATGTTCTGTCTGTTGGAAAACAAAGTATGGTCCTTTACACAGGAAGAGAAAACATGCCATCTGTGCAGGATGATGCACATAGATCCTGCTATTTCAGAGGTCTCTAAGTGAATCCTGGTTACACAGAGAGTCACAAACTAATTCAACAACAAACTTGGTTTTGCTACTTGTGATATTTGCTAACTGTTTAAGGGAGAAATGTTTTGAATGGACCTTACCAAAAGGAGAGTTGACTCTAGCCACACCCAAGACACAGTCTATCATAGATATAAAGCTGAAGTATAAGTAATGTGTAAGATTAAGTGTCAAGTATTTGAACAGACTTTATGATTGCCTCATAATCTTTCATCACTTGAATTTTACTCCTAGGTTTGCAAATATAAAGGCTGATACACAATCTAGCCAAAGTTGTCAACTTTTAGTTGAGTTGAGGTCAAAATGCAGTGGAACAATTCAGTATCTCTTAGGAAATCATCACCCTAAATCCACCAGGAATAGTGAACAACTGGCTCTTGAATCACTGTCCCATGTTTTGTCCCACCACTGGCAGATCACAACCTTGTGGTACCATAAGTCACCATGCTAAACAGTCACGCACACTGCAAGTGAAAACCAGATTGCTGTATGTGATGCTGACAGTACATCAGATAGCTAAGGCTTGGTGATGTAAATGGTTACAAAAGACAGGAGGAGGAGCACAAGGAAAGAATTCCAAGGTTAACCACAGTCTTCTTTTTCACATGTTCTTGTCTAAGGTAAAACCATGATCTTCTTGTTGATTTCCAGTCTAAGCAACTCCCAGTTCTACCTTTTAAGGATGTACATAACTGACCCAGGACAGAAGGAAGAATTCTGTGATAAACATGAGACAATTTTCTAGTTGTGTAGGAGTGGTCCACAAGCCACTTCAACTCAAATGATAAGAAATATCCTAATTGTTTATGTAATGTTGCACTAATAAATTACTCCAAGGGGATAATTTCATCTCTTCCACTCAGAAATTACACAAGAAAAATTTTAATATAAGAGATCTGTTCTGTTGTGATCTCTACCACATATTCAGTGTGACACTTTGTCAGTTTTTGGTGATGTATATGCAAAAGAGTACGTTTTAATAATTATCCTTATTTCTGTGAAATAATTGCTTTCCAAGAATGCCATGACAGACATGCTGAGTAAGATTCTAGCTCTGTTACCCATTGGTTAGAGAGAGAAGCATGGCCAATGGAGGCTCAGACTGAGCATCTTCTGCTCCTTTCATCAATTATTGTGTGGTAAAATACCTCTGATCCAGTTGGCAGCCAATTATTGTCAGTAAAAACCCCATGAATAAATTTTCTTCTTTTATTACTCACTGTAGTAAGTCCCTGGTGTAAAGAAACAAAATATTCAGCTCATAGCTTTAGAGAGATTTTTTTTAAAAGGGAAAATAAATCACACTCGGAGAATACTTCAGTACCCTCTGCTTCTGTCTTGGCTAAAGATATTCCTGTGTTTTCATTTGAAGATGTATGGGTTTATAGAATCAGCATTAATCTTATGTTCTGGGTTAGTGTTGAGTAAGTGCAATTGTTCCCAAAGGGAAAAGGACACCTTTATGCTCCAGACCCCTTTTTCTTTCCATGCATGTATTTCAGCTTCTGGCTATTTGTAGATGATGAAGTTTTCAGACTGTCCCTGTGAAAATAAGGTTTATGGGATAACATTTTGTATGTGTGCATGTGTCTCCCTAATTTTTTCCAGTTTCTTTCAAACCGATTTTTTAGCTGAGTTTAAAAAAGTTCCTTTAAAAAAAAAAATAATAATCCTATGGTGCTAGGGAAAATAACCAAGGGAGAAGGGCAATGTTCCAGCCCTCCCAAAGGGAAGGGTAGTGGCTTGATCTCAATTCATGTTAAATACTAGAATATCCATATAATAACGAGGCATTTTGAATACCTCAAATTCAGGAAAAGCTTCAATGAGAAAAGCCAATAATTACAGGAAACCAATACTTAGTTTTATTTTCTGGGAAATTAATGCTTTAAAAGATGAAAAAACAGGAGCTTTTGAAATGAATAATTTGTTGTCTTTCACAGACCAAATTTGGACTAAAGTTGCTCCTACTGAGTGCAAACTCCAAATTGGCGTTCAAGAGAGTTTCAACTCTGTAAAAAGCTTTGTGATTTGGTTGACCCAGGCTAATCCAGCATCTTTCAGCTGGAGACTGCTGAAACTGCAATTGCTTTCACGCTTGTGTAATAATAAGTAAGGAATCTGGTATTTTATGTGTAGGATCACTTCAATTCTGGAAACACAAATATTTGTAGTGTTTAAAAAAACGTCGCATTTGTAGCACATACGTGTTAGGGCATGCAGTGATATCTCTCATATGAACAATTTCATGTGTACTTGATTTCCTACACAGTGCTACAGCCTAATGCTTGCAAATTTTGCGAGCTAACAAACTTTGTGAGCACCCATGATGCAATCTTAAGGCAGCAGGGCTGTGTTCTGAATGGCACTTCCATGCTCCTCTCTGAGTTTTATTACCTGTAGAAGGATTATGCATTAGACTCATAATTACTTGCTCAATGGAAAGTACAAATAAAAGTGAGATATTCATTAAGTGAGCAAAGAGAGAGAATATTGGTTTTCTTTAAAACACAGTCTTCAGTTAAATTGAAATTAAATGAAACTAGCCCAATGGGACTGAAAGACTCCAAAGCTGTATTTTTGTAACTTCATATAAAAGACAAAGGAAGTGGAAGGAAAATGGAAAAGCAACAAACTTACAACTCAGACACTGACATTTTGTTTTTTATAGCATCCAATTACATCTCAGTCACCTGCAACATGAGCTTTATGCTTTCTTTGGAGGAAAAGGATTAGAGAGAAATTGTAAAGGAGGGAATTAAAGTGGAGCTAAAATTGGGTAAACTTTGGGACTGAAATAATCCCAATCACTAGGGAAGATCTCTCACTGTGTGTACCATTCCAGCCCTGCCAGAGTTTCTCTTACTGGGCAGTAAAACTCTGAACAGTGGCCCAGTGCAGGTACCTGAGACAAAGCTCCTGGCAAATAGCAGTATTAGCACTGCTTTCTGCAATTCATCTGTTGCGATTTAGTTCAGCCAAAATCATTGAGCCATTTATGGTTTATTGGCATTAGTTTTGCCCTTTCTGCCCTCCCTGAAGTACACAATAAGGAGTTGGGCTTTTTCAATAGGCTGTACTGGTAGCCAGGTCCTCGATGCTTAATTCATGGAGCTGATCATCCCAGCATATTTCTCAGTCAGGATATACACTTTTTGCTGTATGAATGTATGAATTTCCATGCCCTAAAATGCAGTGTTCCATGACTGCCTGCCTTCTGTTGTCTCACATGCCTTCCCCCTTTGGTGTACACCCCAGGTAACAGATTGTACTTGGTCATTGGTGTTTTCTTGCTTTTATGTTCTTACTGAAAGCCTTCTCTATATCTAGATTAATCTTTACTGATGAAGTAGAAGTCATTTTGGACCAAGTGTAGGTAAGTTAGGAAAGTTCATTCAGGCAGATGAAGCCTCTGACATGTTTTTGTGTCAGATTACAATAAACTCATTTGAGGCACTTTGCAAAAGACTTAATTTAGGAATCCTGGTGTTGGGAAGGAGTCAGCAATTATCAGAACGGTTAAAAATGAATCTTTTGTCTTGACACATAATTTCTTACACTGGAGATTTAATTTTTTCTCTCCAGTATCTTTGATTTCAAATAAATAGTTGTGTGTTGTCAGATTTGTAGTGTACATCAAAACATGCAGGATATTCCTGTTCATTCATCCATGCCCTGACTACATTTTCTGCAGTAGAAAAAGAAACAAAACTAGGTGAAGAGAAGCTGTAAAGCAAGAGTATCAGTGCACCAAAATAAAGTCTAATTGGAGTAATATTTTAAAGGAGAGTATTAAAGGGAGGGAGTTGAGAGGCAGGAAAAGATTGCCATTTAAAAAATACATGATTTAGTAAGAGAACTGTAGCCTGGATTTTATTCCTGCATTTTAAAAATAAGAAATAGGAAAGTATTAAATAACTGGATCCTTATCAGGATTCATTAGTTCATCCACCCAATGCAGATTTTATATTTTTCCCCTTTACCATTCTCTTGAGTGATCTCTTAGCTTTCTTTTAGGAGTCTCTGCCCTTTCAAATGACATTAATTTGCAGTTCCATTGGCACAGAATAAAAGAAAAAGGATTTCATCCTTTGTGCCCCTACTTTGTTCTCTCTCTCAAGTACATGTTTTTGAGAAAGTTGAATTTTAGGAAGCTGGACAGTTAGCTCTCGACAGCAGAACTCCAGAGACTTTTTGACTGCTCTGGCAAGTACTGTGGCCTGATAAGTGAGTATCCATAAAATAAAAAGTTGGTTCTGAGACCCTGATGTTTGTACAGGAGTTTTCCTTCAGAATAGTTTTAAGTTCCTAGGACTGAATGCCCCTGAACAGTTGGTTTAATTTAATTTGAAAGGAATCCAGTTTGTATTCTGTGAGAGCATTTCAGTATGTGAACCAGTGCAGCAAGTGGAGAGAGTTGGAGGTATATCGCAGAGGAATGCTCCTGATTCAAACTAAAATGCTGATGTAGATGGATCTTACCATGGGATACAGCTGGAGCTGGACAGAGGAGCTCATTCTTTCATTACTCCTTCCCATAGTCATGTTACTTAAATAGGCACATTTCTGTTTTCTACACTCTCTCATCCTCCCTTCAACTGGATCGCTTTACCAATGCCATTCACCATGTAACTGGCCCAGGAAAAGAGGCCACATGGAAGTGGACATGATCGTTCAGGACACAGGGAAGGATAGGATGACTTCCTTTCTCAGCTATAGTGGTTTATGCC